TAAACGTAGTAATCGTTGGATCCTTGATTCAGGGGCCTCTGATCACATGACAGGTAATGCAACCTTATTTTTCTCCTATACCCCTTACTATCACCCGTCACGAATAAGAACAGCTGATGGGAATTTCTCTACTATTGCGGGAAAGGGATCCATTAAACTTTCTGAGCATATTATTTTGAACTCAGTACTTCATGTTCCCTCTCTTACTTGTAATCTCATCTCTATTAGCAAACTTACTGCTGAGTTGCATTGTGTTGCTAAGTTCTCTGCAAATGCTTGTATCTTTCAAGAACAGGACTCGGGGATGATGATTGGCAGTGAGAGGAAGAAGGGCTATACTATTTTACAGATGTTCATTGTGAAAAGAGGATTTTTTCGAACCACTCTTTATGTTTATCAGATGACTGTAATGATGTTTTGTTATGGCATCGTAGGTTGGGACACCCAAATTTTGTTTATCTCCAGAAGTTATTGCCGAACTTATTTATCAATAAAAAGCCAAGTTCCCTTCTTTGTGATATTTGTCAGCTTGCAAAGCACTCTCGTGTCACTTATTCTCCTAAGAAATATCATGAATCTTCTCCCTTTACATTGATTCATAGTGATATTTGGGGACCTGCTCGTGAAAAAAATGTCTCGGGTGCTCGTTGGTTTATTACTTTCATTGATGATCATTTCTAGGGCATGTCGGGTATATCTCTTAAAAGATAAGTCTGAGGCAGCATCCACTTTTAAAAACTTTCATGCTATGATTCAAACTCAATTTCAGACTTCTATCAAAATTCTGCGAACAGATAATGGTACTGAATATTTTAATTCAGTTCTTGGAGATTACCTAAACTAGCATGGAATTATTCATCAAAGTTCTTGTCCTAACACCCCTCAACAAAATGGGGTGGCTGAAAGGAAAAATAGACATCTAATTGAAGTTGCTCGAGCTCTTTTATTCACGATGCATGTCCCTAAATATCTGTGGGGGGAAGCCGTCTTGACAGCCTGTAAGATAAGCCTGGGAAACCAAATGATGTTGTTGTCTTACCTTGGCCTTTGGAAACAAGTGGAGTTATTGGGAAGGAAACAGGGGGAGCAACTATACCTGAATCTAATGATCCTCCTTGTGATCCTCCTGGTAAATGCGGAAAATTTTACAGCAGGCGCAAAACACATGAAGATACTCTAGACTGCCAGGATCCTGACTCGAGTCCTTGTTCCAGCAACCCACTTGAATGTACTAGTACAACCAACGTTGATATGCCTATTGCTCTTCGGAAAGGTACTAGATCTTGCACTGCTCATCCTATTTCCCATTATATCTCATATGAAAAGTTGTCTCCAGGTTTTCGTGCTTTCAACACTATGTTAGATAGTACCAGGATACCCAAAAATATCCAAGAAGCACTTGATGACCCAAAATGGAGGAATGCAGTATTAGAAGAAATGGATGCACTTACAAAAAATGGAACATGGGAGTTTGTGACATTACTTAAAGGAAAGAAAATTGTTGGTTGCAAGTGGGTGTTCACAATAAAATTCAATGCAGACAATAGCATCAATAGGTATAAGGCCAGATTAGTTGCTAAGGGATTTACTCAGACTCATGGGATAGATTATCAGGAGACATTTGCTCCTGTTGCCAAACTTAACACTATCCGCGTTCTGCTATCTCTTGCCGCCAACCTTGATTGGCCATTGCAACAGTTAGATGTTAAGAATGCCTTCTTGAATGGTGATCTCTATGAGGAAGTTTACATGGATCCACCTCCTAGTTTTGAAAAAGGGGATGGTTCTGTGTGCAAGTTGCAGAAGTCTCTCTATGGACTTAAACAATCTCCCAGAGAATGGTTTGGGAAATTTACTCAAGCTGTTAAAGGAAGAGGGTTCACCCAAGCTCAGACTGATCACACTTTATTTTTTAAACACTCCGACAAAGGAAGAATTGCTATTCTGATCGTTTATGTTGATGACATAATTGTCACTGGTAATGATAGCGAGGAGATAACCTCTTTAAAAAAATGTTTAGCTGACCAGTTTGAACTAAAAGATCTTGGATCTCTCAAATATTTCCTTGGCATGGAAATTGCTCGGAGTAAGGAAGGAATTTCTTTAACTCAGAAGAAATACATTCTAGACCTGTTGCAAGAAACAGGTATGCTTGGGTGTAAGCCGGCAGAGACTCCAATTGAAGCTAATATCAAGATGGGAGTTGAGGACGGGGAAGATGTTGATAGGGAGCAGTACCAGAGACTAGTGGGAAAATTAATCTATTTGTCTCACACTCGTCCTGATATTGCTTTTGCTGTGAGCGTGGTTAGCCAATTCATGCATTCTCCTAAGGAAAAACACCTTAGTGCTGTTTATAGAATTCTCAAATACCTCAAAAATACCCCTGGTCGAGGAATTTTCTTTAAAAAGGGGCACAAAAGGATGATTGAAATCTATACAGATGCAGACTGGGCTGGCTCTGCAATGGACCGAAGATCTACTTCAGGATATTGTACTTATGTCTGGGGAAACCTTGTGACCTGGAGAAGTAAGAAACAAACTGTTGTTGCAAGAAGCAGTGCAGAAGCGGAATTTCGGGCTCTAGCCCATGGTATTTGTGAAGGAATTTGGTTACGAAGGCTTCTGGAGGAGCTGAAGATCTCTTATTCCCTACCTATCAGATTATATTGTGATAATAAGGCTGCTGTCAGCATTGCTCAAAATCCTGTTCATCATGACAGAACAAAACATGTGGAAGTTAATCGTCACTTTATCAAAGAGAAATTAGAAGACGGTAGTGTATGCTTGACATATATACCTACCAAGGAACAGACGACGGATATCCTCACCAAAGGATTACTTAAGCTGACCTTTGAGAATTTGATCAGCAAGTTGGGAATGATCAATATATATCTCCCAACTTGAGGGGGAGTGTAGAATATGTAGAATATTCTAGATAGTATTTATTGATGTAGTTGGTAGTTGTATATTTAATTGGTAGTTGTATATTTATTGATGTAGTTGGTGGTTGTATATTTATTAAAGTAGTTGAGGTAGTTGGATGTACTCAATATAAAAAGGACCCATTGGGTCTCTCAATGAATTAAGAAAGTATTATTCAGATAAAACACTTATTCTTTTCTTCAGTTTCCTTGTTTAATTAGGGGTAGCAATCTTATTTTGTTAGTGGGCTTTGACTTCGACTTGTAGTATTACTAGGGTACTCGACCTAACTCTTTGTATAAATCATGTTAGTGTGTATTTTACACGTGTCATATTAATTCAATCTCATTTTTTGTCTGGAAATAAAGCATAACTAAAGAAGTTCAAATTCTTTCTAATTTAAAAAGCTAAAGAGCTGTACCTAGAAGTTAGGATTTATTTGTCATTGTAACATGGCAATGCTGTTCACGGTTCACCTGCATTTGAGTGGAAGCATCAGAGTATCACCTCTATGTTAGATTGTTTAATTACTAAGCTCGTTTTGATCATAATTGAAGTATGCCCTTAAGTTTGATGACTCAGTACTGTTCTGTTGAATCCCCATTCATCTCAACACTCCAGATGTGAGAATTAATGCATGGATATTTTTAAAATCATTGCTGTTTCTTCTTTTTACTGCAATAGTTGAATTATCTGATCTTGGCTGTTCTTGCCAAATATAGAGGGGAGAGAACTGGTGCGGATATTGCTTGTGGCAGGAGCTGATCCATCAGCTCAAGATTCACAGAATGGGAGGACAGCTTTGCATACAGCTGCTATGACTAATGATGTAGACTTGGTTAAGGTAAGTGAATCAGCTTCTTGATTAGAATGATTAAGCATCGATAAATATTTTGTTGGTTCTGAAGTATGCACGTTTTGTACTTTATGTTAATATGTTTAGGGTGTTTTGAGTAGGTTATTCTTGCTGCTGGCGTTGATGTGAACATTCGCAATGTGCACAACAGTATACCTCTTCATTTGGCCTTAGCTAGGGGCGCAAAGGCATGTGTTGGACTGCTTCTAGCTGCCGGGGCGGATTATAATTTGCAGGTTTTCATCCAAGTGCCCATTTGATCGCATATAATTATAATTACAATTATAATGATATAAAATTCCAATCTTTGGTAGCATTGAAGATGGTTCTTTGCTTTGTAAATTCTTTTGTTTTATTTTTCTTGATTTCACATATATTTTATTTTATTTTTTTACTAAGAGGGCAGGCATGGAGTAGTGGTAAAGTTGCTCTTTTGTGACTGAAAGGTCAGTGGTTCAAATTAGGAAATAGCCTCTTTACAAATATGTAAGGTTGTGTAGAAGGATTGCCCTGATCCTACATTCATTGGGAAGGCTTTTTTTAACTCATATTTTATGAAACTCTGTATGACTTATTGATTTCTGAGTGCAATATCTGATGTAGACACTCTTCGGTATCGATTAATTTATGCTTAATGATAATTTATACAGTCACAGGTGGTTGGAGTGATAACAATTCTTGGGAACACATTCCTATTAAAATTCAATAGGTTGAGTATGCTGTCAAAATCAGAGAATGGATATTGAAACTATTTCTTTAAGTTTTTATGATTGACTTTTGTTAGAGAATAATATAAACAATTAAAAAAGCCCTCATCCAACACCTTAAGATTTTGGGTTGAAATGGTTCTTTACATGGTATCAGAGCTTCAGTGACCACAAGGTCACGAGTTCAATCCTCACTGCCCCCACTTTAGAGTGGAATTAAAATAAGCACAAGGTAAATCAAAAAAATTGGGTTTGTGTAATATCCACATTTCAAGATCTAAAGGCTCTTATGTGAGAGGGTGTGTTAGAGAATAATATAAACCATCAAAAAGGCCCTCACCCAACACTTTAAGGTTTTGGGTTAAAATGATTCTTTACAACTTTTATTTTGGAATTACTTGTGAAGCACAAACTATTTTTTTTTTCTTTTTAATAAATAACTTTCCTAAAAGTCAACTTAAAATATAAAAAAAAATAATTAAAAATGTGGTACATAGAAGGACATGATTTTGGATCGCTTGATGATGATTGTGAAATTCTTGAAGTTGGTAATTGGTCACTTGATGAATCGGAGTTAGGGGATGTCTTTTTTAATGATGATGATGGGTGAAAGGCATTAGATTAGACTAGATCCTTCCTTAATTTTTAGGTTGTATTTGGACAGATTAAAGTTTAAAGATAAAGTTCATATTCTTGTTTTGGAATCATTTTGTAAAGAGAAAGTGCTTATGCATTGTATAATGATGCCTCTTGGTATTTTTCTGCTGTGGTCATTGTCATAGGAAAATGTAAAGCATAGCTAGTTGCTTTTGAGAAGGTGAAAATAAAAATTCCAATTCTCAATTTAGATCTTGTCACGGTGCTCATTTAATTTCATTTGACTTACACGCATACATAGTGCCGTGCCGTATCTTATATTTTGGGTACAGTTCATACCTGTTTTAGTGTCCATGTCGTGTTTGATGTCTGTGTCTGTGTTGATATATTTGGATTGATTTGCTTGCTGCCATGACATTGAAACGGTATTTATTGATTAAGCGAAGTTCAGATCTAAGCTGTCTCACCTTCGATTTCATTTTCCATGGAACATTTGGTGGATCTGGTCCCAAGCTTCATGCGAGTTCTTTACTCATAGGATCTCGTTCACCACAGACTCAAGAGATAGTTGACAGCAACCAGGTTATATTTGATCTTGCATGAGCCATTCTTGAAGCGTATTCACAGATTCACTCTCTCGATCTTCTTCCGTTTAGAATTTTAGCGGAATTTTTGGATTCACCAAGTACTTGTGAAGTTGATGTGAGATAAATGATAGGTTCAACGATCTGAACAAGTAATTGTCTTCTGTGAGTTTAACTGACATCTGGTAGTTAAAGTGCGTTGGTGCTTTGTTCTCCATTGTTCCACTTCGAACACTTTGATTCGCACCATTCTGGTTACTGTTGCTATGATTTTCTGTTGAAGATTCTGTCATGGAAGCCATTGATGAAGACGAAATGGATCAGGCCCTCAGAAAGAGAGCTCTAATACTATATTAGAGTTTGAGGAGTGAGAGAGAGGAGAGAGAGAATGAGAAAGCCATTGAATTGATCTATTGATATTATGATGAAATGTTATAGTTAAGCTCTATTTATAGAGCACAAGATTTACACAAGTCATATGATTTAAGACTCTAACAAACTGACAGATTACTGTCTAATGTTCAGTACACCCAAAACTATAATAGATAAAATACATCAGCGAAGCTAAGCTAAAGCAAGCTTATACATATATACTCTAATACATTGAAACGGTATTTATGCATTTTTTTATTTATTGTGCTCCTTATCTTATCTATGTATTTGAACCGTTTGCGCTGGCTTTTGTGCAAGAAGCAAGCTAAGTGTGTGCAACTTATGTGTAGCTTAAATTTTCTTTACATAATAGAAATAGTTGCAAGTTAACATGTTCCCTATCTTTTGGAAGGAAGTGGCTTTTGTTCATGAAGCAAGCTAAGTGTGTGCAACTTATGTTTAGCTTAAATTTTCTTTACTTAGTAAAAAATAATTGCAAGTTAACATGTTCCCTATCTTTTGGAAGGAAGCTTTGCCATATTCCGTTGTCATTTGAGGTTCTAATGCAATTTTGTGTCAGGATGATGATGGTGACAATGCTTTCCATATAGCAGCAGAGACAGCAAAAATGATACGTGAAAATCTTGACTGGCTTATTGTTATGTTAAGGAATCCGGATGCTGATATTGAAGTCAGAAACCACAGGTAAGTCACAGCTAAAGGCTGTTCATTTTCATTAAGTTTTAATTTCTTTATTTTATTGTTATTATTAATATAAACATATCTGAAAAATTATTGTCATAACTTTGAAACTTTGTTTAACTGTTGATATTTAGTTAACCTATTAAACACATTGAACTCCAATGCACTACTGTGACCAATAGATTTATGTTTTATGATAGTGGCAAGACACTACGGGACATCTTAGAGGCTCTTCCCCGAGAATGGATATATGAAGATCTGATGGAGGCACTCATGAATAGAGGAGTTCATTTGTCTCCTACTATGTGAGCAGAAGAAATCATTTTCTGCCATTTTTTATTGGGTATGGTATTAATTGTCTACCTATGTAACTAATATGTGTTATTTCTGTATTTATGACTATAGATTTGAAGTGGGAGATTGGGTGAAGTTTAGAAGAACCGTTACAACTCCAACATATGGGTGGCAAGGGACTAGACCGAAGAGTGTTGGCTTTGTGCAAAGTGTTACAGATAAAGATAATCTCATCGTTTCATTTTGTTCTGGAGAGGTTCATGTTCTAGCAAATGAAGTTGTAAAAGTCATTCCATTGGATAGGGGGCAACATGTACAGCTGAAAGAAGATGTGAAAGAGCCCAGGTATGATTTTTCATATCTGCAACACCATTTTTTTATTTTTTGTTTGTTATGTAATGGCTTCTTTTATGTTATATGTCTATATTGGGGGATTTCTGATGTTTTAGTAAAGGGAAAAGTGTGTATCATTTTAAAGGATGTAAAGTTGTGTCATTTTAAGTGAGAGAAAGAGATAGATAAAGGAGGAGAGAGAGTGGACAAAAAAATATAAAGGTGTGGGTCCCACCTCTTTGTGAGAGTGAAATGACATAAGTTGTGTCATTTAAAAGGACAAACATTTTTCCCTTTATTAAACACCTAAACATTGCAGATATCCTATATCTATGTTGGGAGGTTTCTATTCCTCTCAATAACAATTCTTTTGGTTTATCATGTCTCTCTTTTTTTTTTGACAAAAACATTTGAGTAAAAATTTAAAACTCTCCAAATTCAGTAATCAGTGAAATAAAAGAGAGAGAAGATAAAAAATAATGAGTGGAAGAGAAATTAACCCAATATAGCTCTCATATCCCCTTTGACGACGGTTGAAATTATAGGGTTTTGATAAGGAATCAGAAAAGAAATGAATAAAGACTCAAAATAATAGGGTATTAGATTCATATGGTGTAATAGGATGTGATATAAAAGACAAAGCACTAACCCTTGTTTATACTAGGAATTAGGTTAAGTACTAGACTCCTAATCCTAATCAAATAGGGGAACAAATAACTTACTAAAGATTTGATAAATTTCTAAGGATAAGATAAGGTTCCTAACAAAGATAAAATCCCTAAAAAATAAAACAAAAGCAACTTCCCATGAAATCCCGACTTTTAAAAGTAGGGGTGAGCCTAGAATGCAGCCTTAACCTTGCATTTTTTACAAAGAAATTTTTGTTTGGATTTGAACTCATGAACTTCTGATTGTGAAGTAGTAGCTTTACTACTGCTCTTGCTTGCCCTCTTAATGTAATTATTCACAAAATAACATAAATTATCCTAATCTACAATGTATCATTCTCTCGATCTAAGATGTTTTCTAGATATTTTAACAATGATCAGCAAAATAATATGTAAAGAACCAATTCAACCCATAAGCTTATGTTGTTAAGTGAAGGCTTCTTTAGTGGTTTATATATCTCTAACACGTCCCCTCACATGAGAGCCCATTGGGTTTGAAGGGTGGATGATGCATCAAGCCCAGTCTACTTATGCTAAGAAACTCCACAAGACTTAATTAATTATTAATTAAATGGGGGCGGTGAGTATCGAACCCATGACACCGAGGCTCTGATACCATGTAAAGAACCAATTCAACCCATAAGCTTAAGCTGTTAAGTGAATGCCTCTTTAATGGTTTTTATATCTCTAACATAATATATGTAAAGAAACCATTTAGTGGGCACGAAAACTAGGCCGTACAGACATACCAATTCTATTTAAGCTGAAAGGGTAAAATTTTCTGGCGGAATATTGTAGCATTTATCTTCTGCCAAATGCTTTGGTCCGTGCTAGCAAATCATACTTCCCCAAGGTTGTTGGTTTTTTTTCCCATAATCTTGTTGAAAATGAGCATTAGTACATGGATATATATATATATATATATATTATATATATATATATATGTATGTATATATTATTTCTTTGTTTTGCTGTAAGAGATGTAGATCAAGATCCCGTGCATCTACTTGGTCAAGAGGTACTCAAGAAAGATGTTTTTAAATACCTGAGATCCATTTTGCAAAAAGGTGGAGAGATTGATGATGATGTAAATCATAGAATCAGAGCAGGGTGGATGAAATGGCGTAGTGTATCTGGGTTTTTGTGTGACCACAAAATTCCCCTTAAGCTAAAAGGAAAATTTTGTAGAACAGCAGTCAGGCCTGCAATGTTATATGGTGCTGAATGTTAGCCAGCACATAGGCAACATGAGTATAAAATGAGGATGTTAAGGTGGATGTGTGGTTATACGAGGATGGATAAGATAAGAAATGAAGATATTCGACGAAAGGTAAGAGTAGTACAGGTGGCTGAAAATATGAGAGAACATAGATTGAGGTGGTTTGGGTACGTAATGAGAAGACCCCTGGATGCTCCCGTAAGAACAAAAGTTTGTTACCAAGAGCTCGACACAAAGATAGGTAGAGGTAGACCGAAACGTACTTAGGGGAAGGTGGTAAAATAAGACTTGATGGAGTGGGATATAGATTGACAGACGGTGTGTCTTAAGACAGAATGGAGAAAAGATATAAGAATGGTGGAGGGTTAGACCCTTTGTTATTCTTATGTTCCAGATGATTTCTTTTTAGACATTTTCTTCTTCATCTCTCCCTCTCCTTATTTTCCCATTCTTTTCCTTTATCTCTTTTCCCCTTCCCCATCTTCTCTTTTTATTAATTTTTTTGTTTTTTTTCACTCCCTTTAATTTTATTTGTTTATATATATATATATATATATATATATATATATATATATATATATATTTTTTAGTTTATTTTCTTCTATATATATATTTTTTGTTTTACTTTCTTACTCTTTTTATTTTTATTTTGTTGCCCTCCTCTTTAGTTTATCTTAAGGGGTATGTTTTTCTCATGTTACATGAGATAACATACTCCTCCTACTCATACATCAAAAGTCGTGCTAGCTTTTATTTATTTTTTTACTTTTTTTTTAAAGAGTAGGTCCCACATATTTTGAGTCTATGGCATGAGATAGCAAGTCTCATGCAACATGAGACTTGTATTTCCCTTGTCTTAATATACTTTACCTTTTAATTGTTTATTTCTTTATTTATATATATATAGACACACACACACACACACACACTTTATTTTTATTTTTTTCCAATCTCTTCGTATATTTTATTTGGATTCATCTACCATTGACCCCAATTAGTTTAGGATAAAGGTGTTGTTGATGTTATTCTGCCGAATCCTGATTTCCAAGTGCTCATAAGATTTACTAAAGAATGTATTTTGAAGCTTCCAAGCTACCCAAAAATAAAATAAAATTAAACTGCCAGTCTCTGAGCTTCTAAAACATGACACAAGTGCCTGGAAATAGAGATTTATTGGTCTTTGAACTTGTAACAGATAATTTGGTTTAATCGAATATGAGGTAGAGACAGTCTTAACCTTTCTGAAAGAGGTTGAGTACTAAAATATGGCTAATAGAAGTTTAAATAAGATTCTGGAAGAAAGATATTGAAATAAAATTCCCATGTGACTAAGTGCTTTTGTTCTCTTCCTGCGCTTCTTCCGTACAGGCCTTATTGCATTTGCTTTGGTATATCACAGATTCTTGAAGGATATCAATTATGACTGGAGAACCCAATTAGTTTGGTGGCATCTTCGTACTATACTTTTAATTTTTTGTTCAGTGTATTTATTATGCTCTGCCATATATTCTCTTATCGAGGTTTTTTTAATACAAGAGAAGGGAATGATAATACAGAAGACAACGTATGCTTGACTATTAAATTCTGTCAATTAGTGCCTTGTGCATAGCATGTTTGCAATCCTTGATGATTTTGGATTTGCCATTGATGAGTATTTCTGTTAGGTTTGGATGGCGTGGGCAGTCGCGTGACAGCATTGGGACGGTATTATGTGTTGACGACGATGGAATCCTCCGCGTTGGGTTTCCTGGAGCATCCAGAGGATGGAAAGCTGACCCAGCAGAGATGGAACGAGTTGAGGAATTCAAGGTTGGAGATTGGGTTCGTATTCGTCCAACTCTTACATCTGCGAAGCATGGATTAGGTTCTGTGACACCAGGAAGCATTGGAATTGTATATTGTATCAGACCAGACAGTAGTCTCTTAATAGAACTGAGCTATCTACCAAATCCATGGCATTGTGAACCAGAAGAGGTCGAGCATGTTACTCCTTTTAGGGTATGAAAAATGTAGCTTATTTTCATTCTGACAATTTATTTTTCTGCTCTCTTTTTTACATGACTTAATATTAACAAATTTGTCTTACAGATTGGTGATAAGGTATGTGTGAAACGATCTGTTGCAGAACCTAGATATGCATGGGGTGGTGAGACACATCATAGTGTTGGAAGAATAAGTGAGATTGAGAATGATGGTCTCTTAATAATAGATATACCAAACCGACCCATACCATGGCAGGCTGATCCATCTGATATGGAGAAGGTGGAAGATTTTAAGGTGGCAATTCTTTCTGTTTATGTCAATCATTTGCTACCATTTTTAGTTTGTTCTCTTCCTATATTTATGCTGAGTTGCGTTATTATTGTGTTGCTCTATTTAACTTGTTAATTTGTCCAAAAACAGGTTGGAGATTGGGTCAGAGTGAAAGCTTCAGTATCTTCTCCAAAATATGGATGGGAAGATATCACAAGGAACAGTATTGGGGTGATTCATAGCCTGGAGGAGGATGGCGACATGGGGGTTGCCTTTTGCTTCAGAAGTAAGCCGTTTTCTTGCTCAGTCACTGATGTGGAGAAGGTTGCCCCTTTTGAGGTGGGACAAGAAATTCATGTGATGCCGTCTGTTACTCAGCCACGGCTTGGATGGTCAAATGAATCTCCAGCTACTGTTGGAAAAATAGTGAGAATTGACATGGATGGTGCTCTCAATGTAAGCATAGTTTTTTGTATTTTCTAATTTTCGCACAAGATACTACACCTCTAAAGACTTCTAATCTAACTAAAAATTCTGAAGTGTCTTCCATAACTACAGCTAAACAAGAACTAACAGTTTTCTGTGATGCCGTTTAAGTAGTGATACACTCATATGGTATGTAAAGCTTAAAAAGCCGAATGAACATTGCCTAGGAAATAGCCTCGATCTGGGGGATTTTATATAGACTCGGTTCACACAGGTTGGGTGGAATGAATCAATTGAATTTTTCCAAGTGTAGTATCAGGCTCAAGTCATTTTATAAAAAACCACTTTAGCTTTTTTGGCTCTCTTTCCTATCTCCGATAAATTGAGAAAATCGGACTGACTAAAATATAGACCACTCTTGCTATTAGATTAGCTTAGCTAAACTTTATATAAAACATTTCATTGACAACTTTATTTGTGATTTCATCCTGATATTACAACAGACAAGAAGTGATTTAGCTGGTTTTGTTGTAGGTGAGGGCCACTGGAAGGCAAAGCTTGTGGAAAGTTTCTCCTGGAGATGCAGAACGACTTCCAGGATTTGAAGTTGGGGATTGGGTGCGCTCAAAACCAAGCCTGGGAACCAGACCAAGTTATGACTGGAATAGTGTTGGGAGAGAGAGTGTAGCTGTTGTGCATAGTGTACAGGATTCTGGATACTTGGAATTGGCTTGCTGTTTCCGAAAAGGGAAGTGGATAACTCATTATACAGATGTTGAAAAGGTTCCTAGCTTTAAAGTGGGGCAGTATGTTAGGTTCCGAAATGGCTTGGTTGAACCAAGGTGGGGTTGGAGAGGAGCTCAGCCTGAATCTCAAGGGGTTATAACCAGTATTCATGCTGATGGAGAAGTTAGGGTAGCTTTCTTTGGTTTGCCGGGACTGTGGAGAGGAGATCCTTCAGACCTGCAGATTGAGCAAATGTTTGAAGTGGGAGAGTGGGTTAGGTTAAAAGATAATGCAAATCATTGGAAATCAATTTGGCCAGGTAGTGTTGGTGTTGTTCAAGGAATAGGGTATGAAGGAGAAGAATTGGACAGAAGCACTTTTGTTGCCTTTTGTGGGGAGCAAGAAAAATGGGTAGGACCAAGTTCCCATCTTGAAAGAGTTGACAAACTCATTGTGGGACAGAAGGTTAGAGTTAAACAATACGTAAAGCAACCAAGATTTGGGTGGTCAGGGCACACCCATGCTAGTCTCGGGATTATACAAGCAATTGATGCGGATGGAAAGCTTCGAATATACACCCCAGCAGGATCAAAAGCATGGATGTTGGACCCATCAGAAGTGGAGGTGGTAGAAGAGAAGGAGCTCTGTATTGGAGACTGGGTAAGGGTTAGAGCGTCAGTTTCAACCCCAACCCACCATTGGGGGGAAGTGAGTCATTCAAGCCTTGGGGTGGTGCATCGGATGGAAGATGAAGATCTGTGGGTGGCGTTCTGTTTTACGGAGAGGTTATGGCTTTGTAAGGCGTGGGAAATGGAACGGGTTAGGCCATTTAAAGTGGGGGACAAGGTAAGGATCAGAGATGGACTGGTGACCCCACGGTGGGGATGGGGAATGGAGACACATGCCAGCAAGGGCCAGGTGGTAGGGGTAGATGCAAATGGCAAACTAAGAGTAAAGTTCCGGTGGAGGGAAGGGAGGCCCTGGATAGGAGACCCTGCTGATATTGCACTTGATGAGAAATGATGTTATACTTTAGGAAAATGGAAGCTTGTATCATAACTGGATTCTCTCGTTCAACTCTTTAGTCTATGCTTTTCTGGGCCTGAGCTTGTGCATAGAAGTGGAAAGCCTCCCCGCTACCAAATGTGCTTTGAACTATAACTCTGTCCTGTAGGTTGGAATGCAAGATTTATTTGTGTTAATAAACATAGGACTGATATGATTAAAGTTATGGAGATAGGAAAATTGGCTTCCTGACCGAGATATGGAGATTTGAAGACAGTTAAAAGCATATATTGGCGGTTGGCCCATTTATATTCATTACTCACATATAAGTTTGTAGTCCCAGATTTTGTTGTGTATATTTTTATATATGTTTATTTAATATTATTGTACAAATTGTACTCCGCAGACTTAATGCATTTTTTTGACTCACCATAATGCAATCGGATAATTCTTGAATAGAATTGATTCCATTATAGTTTCTGCAATGTGATCACCCTTCTGTTCTTCCGTTTCTGATTTTACAAAATAAATGGATATGGTCGTGAGCATTCTCGCCCTCACAGCTCAATTAGTACTCCATTTCATCACTCAGTGACAACAGTGTTAGAAATGGTGAATGAGCAAGGGTAAAACTCGCAAGTATTTAACTTCTACATTTAGGCACAGTATACAAAATTAATAAACCTGCAAGATTTGTTTTACTTTTTTATTTTTTATTTTTTGTAAAGTAGATTTGTTCTACTTTTGCCCGCTGTAATATGATCCTAAAATTGCCATTCAATGGCCTCAAAATTAATAAACCTGCAAGATTTGTTTTACTTTTTTATTTTTATTTTTTTGTAAAGTAGATTTGTTCTACTTTTGCCCGCTGTAATATGACCCTAAAATTGCCATTCAATGGCCTTCATATCTTCCATATTTTACCGTCGTGCCATGCTTAAACAAATTATGAATTACTTTTTTTCTTAAAGAAAAAAGAAAAAAAAAAAAAAAAAAACTCTTTTCCCACTGAATTTCATGCATTGAGCAACAACACTGAAAGATACGAAAAATCATAAATGCCGCTTGGAAACATTGAACAAGCACTTACCCAATTGCGAGTTGACAGGAACCTAGAGATATACTCCTCAACAAGATGTTTCAAATAAAAAAATCACGAGCAGACTAAGTATACGAACAAGTACAATTCAATATAATATAATGAATTACTCTTAAGAGACATGAAAAAACTATGTAATCCTGATGAGAAGTATCTAAAAAATTAATCTCACTAATCTCTTTATCAATGAAAAGATAAAAGTACTCCTCCTAGTAGTAAATGAGTAGTCAGCAAATAAGTCTTGATGAGGTTAATACTCCCTTGCACTCACCAATTTATCCTCGTGCCATTTAGAGAAGCATCGCAGGGCATCCCTCATCCAAGCATGCCGGCAGCTTCCACGTGCCTCTGATATAGTCAGCCAACTCCTATTTCTAGTGCTTTGCTCAGGCCATGACTCAAGTTCCTCCTTAACAAATAAGGCAAACATTGCTGCTCTACATAAACCTTTTGGACTGAACTCATCTTGGTGAGTCTTACTTCTAAATTCATAGTACCCAAGAAAGTCCTGACACACACAATAGCTCTCAATATTAACCATTGGTTTGCATGCATCCACCCAAACAACAATATCAAAAAACAACATACAAAGATCCAACAGGCAACAGCCTTGTTGTCAGTTGAATTAAACAAAATCAAGAAACTAGGAATTTCAAGGGACATCAGTTTAAGAATGCAAGGTTCAAGAACAGGTCTAATTCAGATGAGACAAAACCATATAGTACCACTGATTTTTGCTAAAATCTGAAAAATTGCCAGCATATCAGAACAATTATGTGATAATGTACCAATACTATTTCAGGCTCGAATTTGGCTAATATATTACCTGATTCTTGCTCCTTATATGTTAATGTGGCCTTAACTGGCTACACATAGATGTAAAATTAACTCAAGTTTTTTTTTATTTTGGGCAAAATTTTGCTGTCATCATCAACTGTCACAACTCACCAGCAACATTATATGAGAACGTGATTTGGTTTTAACATAAGCTTCCTAGACACACCAAGAAACCATTTACTCAGGTACATCAACACATCACTATATTACAGAAGATAAAATATAAAATTAATTCATATATGTGGAGAAGTTTCTCACCCTTAGGTCTCCTCGAACTCCTGCTTCTTCAATAGCTTCTCTTACAGCAGCCTCCTCAACAGTTTCATCATTCTCCCAACCTCCCTTCATTGTAAAAGAAAAATCACAATAATCAGAAAATAAGATCCCCACTGAGGAGCCATTCAAAAAAGAGTTTACAACTGATGTCAACCACATTAATTTACAAAAACGAATCCTTGCTATGAAGTTTCAGGCAATTGATTGTGAGGCTGTAAAATCATTTCCAACAGCATAGGCAATTTAATAAAGTTGTCTCGTCAATACATTCAATCCAAGTTTTTACAACGAATTTACATTAAGGCCTGAGTTATTTAAGCGCCTAAAAGCTAGGCTTTAAGTGCAATATGTGGTACCTAATTATTGTTTTAATTAAGATGACAATTTCTGAACCAAAAAAAAAATAAAAATAAAAACTATAAAAAAAATTCATTTTTCTGTCCAACAAAAAAAAAGCTGTCATTTTCTATGGTGTGAATCATCATCATCCCATAGGACATGAATCAAAATTTCTGAACCTAAGTGGATAAAGTCATTCTGGCATCTAAGTTATCCTTTTAAAACAAGTTGCAAAAGAAAAATCTCAGATTAAAGCCACAGGGCACAGGCACAGGCACATTAAAGTTGTCTTAAAGATAGTTCAAAGCCTAAGTCTGAAGGCGAAGCTGCTTGGGTTCTCTTGAAAAAGTACAAACTGGTTATGAGAGCTACATGCATACCAGTCACACATTTATAAGGTCAACTTAAACCATTCATGTACATAAAGAGAATGGTGTACTGCATACTGAAATATGTGAAATAGCAAGCTATAAATGCAATGCTTGTAGTTTCTTCCAAGAAACCACTATGATTATCAAAGGCAACAGTAATAACCAATGACAACTTCTAAATACCAAAAAAACATGAATAATAGAAAGGAAACAAACTACATCAGTTTAGCACAATACAATTTTAATGGGAATCTTATATGACCATTGTAGTTTTTTGACATAGAAACTAAATGAATTTGGATCCTCTTCTGTCACAGGACCATCCCATTAGAGAGAGAAAGATACACAAGTTTTATTGTGCAGAGACCTGTCATGATGGGTTATAGGGTCCACTAGTTATATGCAAAAAATAATTGTCTCTGTATCCCTCAAAAAGGATACTCTCCTTTTATTGACATAAGGAGAGGATCCAAATCCAAACTAAATGTTCTCATCATCCCAAATAGGCTTGAAATCCTTACAGTAGCAACAGTATAAACTGCATGAAACCAGAAGTTGATAAAAAGTTACACCAGGATGTGTAGGGCATTGATAATTTTCTCTTCTTGAACAATGAAAATGGTCAAAACTAATATCAAAATTCTGTTGCATTATAGCTGTTTATAATTTTCTGATTCCTCCAAAAATAATGTGTCCAGAAAATTCTTGATGATGAACTGTCATAGAAACCATAGTTGTAAGTGCAGTACACTAATAATAATGCACACAAAATCATAGAAACATAAAAGTACAAAGGTTGTATTCCAAACATTATACCTTTGGAAACAAAAGACCTGGTCCACTAGATGAATTAATCATAAGCACTTCAACAATCTTTTCAGAACAAGAGTCCCCACAGTCATTTCCATCTTTATACCTAAATGGAACACACCTGCTTGCCAATTAGCATCTGCAGATTAGATCCCTAATTATATGAATCCAAAAAATAATATAAATTCTTTATCAAACTTCAAGTAATTCCCAGCCAAAAAATTTGGTAGGCAAAGTAAAAGCTACCAATTAGTTTGGGATAAAGGTGATGTTGATGTGATGTGATAGTAAAAGCCACTTCTTTTCTCTTTGTTCATACATTAGCAAACTTGATTTATTTGGATTAAATAATGATTGGATGCAAGAAATCGCACATTTCCCAAATTTACATAAGTCAGAAATATGACCAAACTTAACAGTATAAATGAAAATATGACAACAACGAAATAGTGAACCTTCGTCCACATTAATGACCTTTTGAACTCATATTTATATCAGGAAAAGAAAGGAGAATGAAACAATAGAAACACCACGTGTAGTCTGATTGATCCTACAGATCAACCATATTCATGAAAATCTGACAAGTGAGGTTTTCCACATCATTTACTATTGAATCTACATACAATTTTCTAAAGTGCAATCGTTAAGAAAGCAATCTTAAAGCCACCAAGACTCTTACAAAAGCCAAGATGAGGATTAAAAAAACAATCAAGTCACTATAGTGCTTTTAGAACACTATTGAGAGATTAAAACACCATGTGCTGAGAAAAATAATAAACATGAACTAGAAAAAGAAGTTGTTATGGACCCATATAATGGGCCCATTAAGTGGTAAGCCCAACAAGAGGCAATCTAAGATACTGATTGATATTAACAAAGGATAGATATCCATTAAGGATACTAATCCTAATACGACAGCATAGCAAACAGGCCTGGGCCCTCACCAGAGGCACCAAAGGCCCATCCACACTACCCACAGGTAACCTCTATAAATACAAGGTAAACCCTAAAGGTATGTACGCTCTTTCTCTTACTGTTATGCTGTCACTGTGCGCACACACACACCCCATTGGCTAACGCCGTTATAGTATTCTGTGCACAATGATCTCTGCTTGACTCAAGGGTATCTCATTCATAGATACCTTGGAGAGGGCACTAGATCCAAGATAAACGCACCAGCCTAATGGGCTGGACATCTTTGTCCCAAGGATAGAACATGGCGCCGTCTGTGGGGAATTTCATCTTCATTGAATTGGAAGTCCCCACTAACCTGACAAAGGATGGCAATCCAGACAAGGAGTAGTAGCCAGCAGCCACCCCAGAACCAGAATCAACCGTTGGACCCGGTCCTGGAAGAGGTAAATCAGCCTCAGAACCAGATCGGAAACAACGTGGACTATGACCATGTCCAGATTGAGGATGACATCTCAGACACCGCGTCTACTCCAGCGCGTCGAGACAGGGGGCTGATGCGATTATGGCTCCAATAAGGAACAACCCTTCCTAGCACCTAGGAGATCTTGTTGCACGTATTGCCCAATCAGCCGATCCGGATACTCGGTTGGCTAACAACGCTTTTGTGCGATCATGGAGCGGATTGACGAATTGGAAACTCGTAATAACCTGCAACGGCAGCAGGACTTTCGGGCGATACGGGAGGAAAGTAATATGGCAATGCAAGACCTGGAACAGCGCTTAACACAGCTAACTGGACCGGGGGCAACAGAAACTGAAGGCCAGCCTGCCAATGGCCGAGAAAGAACTCGAAACCTAATCTTGCCAAACCGGGTTCCTAAGTTGAAAATCAAGAAAGGCCCAACCCGGCGAATGCAGCAAACCCAAACCCAGGGAACCGGGCTGCCGAGGGCCAAAATGCTCAAAACCATCTGGCACAGGCCAATGGCCAGGAGGACCGGAATAGGACTCATCATGACCAGAATGCTCAGATCGTCCGAGGGCGTGTGGAACCTGGCGGATACAGAAGGAAGTACAGTAGGGGGAAGTACAACAACAACCCATTTACTGGTGAAATACTGAGCGCTCCCTTCCCGGAGGACTTCGACTCGGCACGTCTGCCAAAGTACGATGGGAGTCAAGATCCACAAGTCCATATAGACGCTTTCGACACGGACATGTATATCCGAGGAATTGACGAACCCCTCATATCCCGGATATTCGCCATAACCCTGACGGGGGCTGCACAGGCGTGGTTTTCAACTCTTCCTGCTAATTCCATAGGATCATTCGAGGAATTCGGACAGAAATTCCTCTTAAACTTCGCAACCAGCAAAAAGCATCCCAAATCCGAGTTCGCTCTCGGAGAGATACGACAGCAACCCGGAGAAACCCTCCAGAAATATCTTAATCGGTTCAAAGACGCTGCATTGCAGGTCCCCGGGTTGCAAGAGAATGTCCACGTACACCTCATTGTGGCTGGTTTGGATGGTGCTTCCAGGCTAGCCAAGTCGGTCTACAAGGACCCGGTGAGGACGTTGGAGGAATTCAGAACTCGTTCGAAGAAATATCTCGAACTGGAGCAAATGGAGACTGCAAATGCACAATCTGAAGAGGGCAAAAGAGTTAGCCCGAGAAGGAGGAGCCCGACCCCAAAGAGGAAAGAACGGGTGGACAATAAGAAAAAAGACCCACGCGCCAGAATCCCGGACATGAGGGATCGGGTTGGAAGATATGACCAGTATACACCGTTGAATGCGTCGCGCTCTTAAATCTGGAGGGAAGTAGCAATGACGGAAATGAAGAAGGTGGACAGACCCCGGCCTATATTTGATAAAGGAGGTTTGGACAAATCCAAATACTGTGTCTTCCATGATGGGCCGAGCCACACAACTGATCAATGCTGGGATCTCCGTGATGCGGTGGAGAAATTTGTGAGAGATGGACGATTGCGTCAATACGTGATAAAAACCCAAGGGTCCAAAAACAACAAAAGGAAGTCGGGAAACAGAAAGAAGTAAAAGTCCAGTTCCTGAAAAGAAGAACAAGGATGAAAGGGATCGCAAAGATGATCCCAACTTCGATGAGTTCCCGGAAGCGGAATTTGATTGCAACATAATCAGTGGAGCCCTTGGAGGAGGGGGTGACACTATAAGCGCAAGAAGGAAGTACTTGAAGGTGGTTCTTTCAATTCGGGACCGTCCTAAATTCAAGGAAGACCCAAGCAAACCAGATCCTCCTTTGCTGTATTTTACAAAGGAGGACATGCATGGCGTGTTGCCGGGGCATGTTGACGGATTAGTCATCGCTGGAACCCTGGTAAACTGCCGAGTTAAGAAGATCTTTGTTGATGCAGGGAGTAGTGTCGACATCATACTATGGGACGCTTTCAAAAAGATGAACCTGGAAGAAGAGGACCTCAAACCTTGCAAAACAACCTTGATAGCTTTTAATGGAGAGCACACACCTCCTAAAGGCTATATAGATCTCCGGTTGACCCTGGGAACCAAAGAAGCGTTCAAATCAGAACGGGTGAGATTTATAGTGGCCGACTTCCCATCAGAATACAACATAATTCTAGGAAGGCCAACTATACACTAGTGGGACATGTTGGTATCCACGAAGCATCAAAAGATAAAGATGTTAAGCAGTAAGGGTGAAATAATTACTGTTTGTGGAGATCAAAAAGAGTCCAGAGGATACTATTTCGACACCGTCAAAGATAATGAGGATAGACATACAGGTCCACCCCGAATTCATGCAGGGGATAAACAAGGCAAGAACACAACCCAGCATCATTCCAGGAAGCCTGTCAATGTGGTTGAACTCGATATGAGAGAAGAAATAATATTGAGACCCGAACCTGATAGAGAGCTAGAAAACCTCACATTGGGAGAAGAACCCAGTCAGTTTACCCGAATTGGTAAGACCATAGATCCCCAAATTAAGGGAGAATTGGCCGATTTTCTCAAGAGCAACACGGATGTGTTTGCTTGGAATTCGTCCGACATCCCGGGCATCGATCCCGCCTTCTGCTGCCACAAGCTGGCAGTTTATCTGGGATCCTCGCCGGTTTCCCAGAAGAAAAGAAAGTTGGGACCAGAAAGGAAGCAAGTTCTACAAGAACATGTTCAAGAGCTTTTGCATGCTGGGTTCATTCGGGAGATACAGTACACGGCATGGCTTGCGAATGTAGTAATGGTGAAAACACCAAATGGAAAATGGAAGGTCTGTACTGACTATACAGACTTAAACAAGGTTTGCCCAAAGGATTCTTATCCTATGCCTAACATAGATCAGCTGGTAGATAACTCGGCTGGATTCCGTTTGCTGTCCTTCATGGATGCCTATTCGGGATACAACCAGATTGCAATGTACCCAGGGGATCAGGAAAAAGCGGCCTTTATTGCTGAAAAGGCCAATTATTGCTACAATGTGATGCCATTCGGACTCAAAAATTCAGGGGTAACCTATCAGCGAATGATGAATAAAGTCTTTGAAGATCAGCTGGGCAAGAATGTAGAAGTATACATTGATGATATGATTGTAAAGTCATTTGATATGACGAATCATGTCCAGGATCTTGAACAGACATTTGAGAAGCTCAGGAAGTACCGTATTCGCCTCAACCCGGTGAAATGTGCATTTGGAGTACCAGCTGAGAAATTTCTGGGTTTCATGCTAACCCATAGAGGAATTGAACCGAGCCCTGACAAATGCAAGACAATACTTGATATGAAAGTACCCCTAAACAAAAAGGAGGTTCAACAGTTAATCGGTCGATTAGCTGCACTAACCCCGTTCCTGCCAAAGTCTGCTGAAAATGCCCTCCCATTCTTTAAACTATTAAAGAAGGAAGCAATTGAAGGTTGGAACCTGGCATGTCAAGCCGCGTTCGAGAAAGTCAAGAAATGCTTAGCAACTCCGCCAGTGCTCTCAAAGCCAAACTCAGGAGACATTCTAATCATATATCTGGCTGTGGGGGAGGAGGCAATAAGTGCTGTTCTGATCAAAGAAACTAATGAAGGCCAAGAGCCGATTTATTTTGTCAGTAGAGCTTTGCAAGGTGTAGAGGTCCGATATCAAAAGCTAGAAAAGGTTGCCTTTGCTTTGCTCGTCACGACCAGGAGATTACGGCCATACTTTCAGGGGCATCAAATAATTGTC